CAGCGTGCATGCCCTGATTCCTACCTACCATTAGCAGGAACTTCATTGGTCAAACCTGAGCAGCCTGAAGGATCAGTTCAGTATACATCTAGGTCTAAACCAGGGGTGGGCAAATGTGGCTTTTACAACCTGTAGACTTCAGCTCCCAGAATTCCTGAGACAACTTGACTGTCTCAGGAATTCTGGGAGTTGAAGTCCACAGGTTGTAAAAGAGCCACATTTGCCCACCCCTGGTCTAAACTATTGTTGGGATAGTAAGTATTAGTTTAAAGAACCTCTATGTGGACATAGCATTTTCTTCTTCTGTTGTTAATTCTGCACTGTCTTATCAAAGGAACTACTGCAGGTAGTTGACTTACGACAGTGATTAAACTTAGCAATTATAGTTGTCATGATAGCCATAATGCACATTGGACTCATTTTTCTACTTTTGCGACTGTTGTTAAGCAAACAGAGCTTTCATTAAAGAAACATGCTTGGCTCCATTGGTAAAACTGTTATAAATTATGGTCATGTGACCGCAAGGAAATGCAAGTTGGTGGCTGAGCACCCTAAATGCAGAGGGAACAGTGTTTAAGTTCCTTTTGGGATGTCTTCTTGTAACTTTGAATAGCCACTTGGCAACCAATGATAATTCAAGGCCTGCCTGTATTTCAATTTCAATTTCAACCTGAAAGTAATCCAAACATGTATTGCAGAGTATTCAGCAGGTCTTGACCAGTTCTGGAGAACTGGTAGCGGAAATTTTGAGTAGTTCGGAGAACCGGTAAATGCCACCTCTGACTGGCCCCGCCCCCATCTATTCTCTGCCTCCCGAGTCCCAGCTGATCAGGAGGAAATGGAGATTTTGCAGTATCCTTCCCCTGGAGTGGGGAGGGAATGGAGATTTTACAGTATGCTTCCCCTGCCACACCCACCAAGCCACGCCCACAGAACCAGTAGTAAAAAAAATTGAATCCCACCACTGATGTATCGGTGCATATATGCTTGCTCTGTGCATTTGGCAAAAATACGTTAACCTTCCAGATCACCCCTGTCTCAAGAGTCAAGAGGTTTTGGTATTGAATCACGGGACCACTATAGCAACCTTCCAATACTTAGGAGAGGATGTTTTTCATCTTCTATTAATCAGCTAAAGAGCAAGCAATTTTGCTCAATGGGTTCCATTTATGCTTTTCTGCTTCTGAGATTGCCAGAAGTAACAATGACCTTGGATTAGTTTCAAACTGCTTCGAGTGGGATTGTAAAGTAGAAATGCTGGCGATGCTACTCTTTGTGTGACTGTAATACTCACAGCAACCTCTTTTTTGTCCTGGTACTACAGAATTGGTGAATTGTATTGGAGCATGTTGCTACAATGCAGCGGTGTAGTACATCTACTAACTGCATTGAAACAAAAAAGATTGATGAAAAGACCAGAAATGTGTGTGGTATGAATCAAATATTTTATTGTCACAAAATAAATCAAAATAAGTGAACAAAATAACTACATCTTTTCAGATCAAAGTGGCTAAAATGAGTATTTTTGAAGAAAAAGAATCATAAATAAAAGGAAACAAGTATGGAAGACTTTCAGGCAACAATTATTGTGATTTCATTGGCTTTACATAGATAATAAGCAAATATTCCCCCATGAATTGTGTAGGACATATACATTCTACATAAGCTAGAAATACTGTGAAGTTATTTCCTAATTAAACTTTGGTTCTTCTGACCTTAATTCACACAGGACAGGTAGGAAACCATTAGTGTAAAACTAATCTGTCAGAAAATATAATAATTTACCAACAGGAACACATTCCTCATAATTTAATCATAGCAGAATCATATTCTGCTACGAGCTGTCTAAATTTCTAAAAATTTTGGTTAAACATTTATATGTCCATCCCTTCAGAATAGTCTCATCTACTGTACCAGATTTTTTAAAAAATAGTTCCCTCTGGTGGTTTGGACCTGAAATACATTTTTAGGTTAAGCCATATTTAACCTATTAAACATGTTAAGCCATTGCTTTCTATTTTCAGAAAGTTGCAAGGATTTTGCACGTCTGTAAAATACATATTGTTTTGCTTCATATTCTAATATTCTAATTACAGTGCTGTAAATTTGTTCACAGTTACCCTTAGCAAAATTCAGTATAATAACTTATAAGCAAAGTTGCCTTTATGGACAGTTCAGAATCATCAGAGCAAAATGCAACTTCCCAGAAAGATGACAGGACGATACGATCCTAATTGTCCTATAGCACAAATTTCCAACTTCAAGCCAGTGAATTTTAAGAGGGCATCCATGTGGCACTGCTGAACTATATTATTAATAATATGCACTATCGTGAGGAATGTTGAGACCTACAGGTCAGAAAAATCAGGATGGCCATAAATTGTCCATTGCAGGTTGGGGTCAAACTATAAGTCAGCTCCCACACATGCTTGCCGAAGGTGCTTTTTGCAAAAGGCAAATGGAAGCTTTTTCAGTTCAGGTCAGGATTAGTTTGGATCAGGATTAGATGAGAAACAAAACATCTTCAAAGAAAAAAAAAAGCAAGAAGTTGCCTCTTGGGAAAAAAAAAACCTTGTGGAATAATCATGATCTAGAGATGATTGAGAATATCCATAGACACATTCCTGCCAATTTTCATATATGCATAATAGATTTTTTTAAAGTTTCAGAATCTTTTATACATACAATCAGATAGTATTCAGCAGTTAGAAGTTTGAAAGTTAGGGGTAAATTTGTTTAGAGTAATTAGCTCATTATTTATTTATTTATTCATTGACCACTGTGTCTACAGACTGGTGAAACACATCAGTTTGGATCAGAATTAGGGGAATTATACTTATTCAATACTAGTAATGCTCAGGACTCATTAGATTATGGGCTAGGATAACATGAATGTTATAACTACGAAGACACACAAAATAGATCGCTGATGAATATTTTTGCTGCAATAAGAAGCAATCAAGGAAAAGATCCTAATCTATTATATTCCAAGAAATTTTCAAATTTATAACTACTACCTGGAAACTGAAGTCTAAACCTAGCAAATTTCTGTGCTTAATTCAAAATCACGGTAACAATAATAATATCTCTAGCTCCATTACATTAAAATTATTCTGATTTTCATAGTTTTATTTTAGGTCTCGTTAAAAGTAAAATATGAGAATTATAGAATTATACTCTGAAGCTTGGATGTTTTTTACTTCCAAATCCTAATTCATTAATACAGAGTTACCCATATTTTGACTTTCTATATCCACAAGATGGCATTGCTCAACTATTTACAAAAAAATAATAATCTCATTTTAGGACCAGGGCTTTATAATAAATCTTGCTCTCCTAACTTTACATAGTTGAACTTGGCTACTAGGTTCAAACTTGTCTTTTGGAGGTACAATATCACATACTCAGGCAAGAATCTTCATTGTAAATTAGATTGTAGGCACACTAAATAGTTGGTTGTCCCTATCAGTGTGGGAATTTCACTCTTATACCTATATCAATTTAAGCTACCTGGCTTTTGGTTGTTGACATGACCGATATTTCTGCCGTGAGGAAAACTGGTTCTCAATTTATCTCTCACCTTTCTCAAGTTATGAGAGAACTAATTACAGTGATTAGATAAATCAAATTATTTTCCACCTAATAATTTATGAACAGATAAAAGATGTATCAAATCAGCACCTTAAAAACTTGACCTCAATTTAATGCAATCTTTAAACATAAATATTCTGTAAAGATGCCAACAAGCATGTTCTAAAAACTTGAAGTTTTGCATGAATTTAAGTGTATTTTCAAATGAAGTTGGCTTAAATCTCAATAAAATACATTTAACCTCTGGGTTGTCTGACTGCATACTTCTATTATGATTACTCCATTGTTATTCATCTTTATTCTTTTTCCAGATGAAGATATTATATCATGCCAGTATCTCCGGAGCAGAGAGTTAAATGAGAATGTGATGTTTGAAAAAAGATACTTTACTGTTTCTGACAGGAAATTGGATATAGTTGACTTCTATTCTAGAGTTAGCAGTACTTTGGTTTTGAATATCATTCTAAAGGAAAATAATTGAAGTAAAAACTACAACAACTTGATTCAGTAATTAAACAAAAAACAAAAACCAGCGGAAAATAATTATGTTTCTCCATCAGCAAAACCAATTTCCAGTGATGGAACAAAATATAGAATTAGAATGAAGAATATAGAATAACAGAGTTGGAAGGGTCCTTGGAGGTCTTCTAGTCCAATCCCCTGCTTAGGCAGGAAACCCTACACCACTTCAGACAAATGGTTAGCCAACATCTTCTTAAAAACTTCCAGTGTTGGAGTATTCACAGCTTCCAGAGGCAAGCTGTTCTACTGATTAATTGTTCTGTCAGGAAATGTCTCCTTAGTTCTAGGAAATTAGTCACCCTAATTTCCTTCTTATGCATATCATCCCAAAATCAGAGCACCATTTAGGAGACATGCTCTTGTCATTTAAGACATATAAGGGGGGTGGGGTGGAGGAGAAGACAAACTTATTTTCTGCAAGTAGGTTTTGCTTGTGCATTAGTTTCCACCACAATTTACTACATTTTTGGAGAAGGAACCTCAACATTTAGAAATCCGGGGGGGGGGGGGGGGGTTGTTTTTTGTTTTTGTTTTGGTAATATACGATTGAGGCTTAGGGAGACATGTACTAATGTCACAAACTTAACTCAGCTGCAGAAGGAAGATGTAAGGAGCGCTGAGTTTTAAGCAAGCTCCCTTTGTTTGTGGAATTTGTGGAGATTTTTTTTTTAAAAAAACAGCCCTGTCCCAGGAGAAGTTCTACTAGTTAGGAGAAGAGCAAGAGGTCACTATGAGGTAGGTGGCTTCTGAAAGAAAGCTTAGCCTCACATCGCATCAGCCAGGCTCCTTTGTAAAAAAATAAAAAAGCTAAGACCCGGTGGCCTAGAGGTGGAGCTCTTGCCTCACAATCAGGAAGTTGTGAGTTCAATCCTAGGTAGAGGCAGATGTAGGGTCTCCTGCTTGGGCAGGGAGCTTGGACTAGATGACCTGCAAGGTCCCTTCCAACTCTGTTAAATCTGTAAGTTGGATGCCTCAGAGCCCTGGAACTTAGTGAGGAACAGCAAGTCTCTTGGATGGCTAGATATGAATTAGGCCTCGGTCTACAAGTTGTAAGTGCCCCATGTGCCAATCATTTCCGAGTGGCTTGAGGCTGCTCCCTTGCCTGACTGGGAATGGCGGCCTTGGGAGCAGGAGGCCAGGACCAGGGAACAGAGCCCCGGTTGCCTCAGGGGTGGGGAGGCCTTGGTCTGGGCCTGCGTTTGGGCCTCTAAGGGCCTTTGTTCCATATAATGAGGCGCACATTCATTTAATGATTGCATTTGGGAGAGCAGGAATGGGGAGTTCATTAACTGAGATGCTTCACCTAATGGCCATTGCAACATGTGACAATAACGGGCAGGTTTCATTACAGTTGAGGACAACCTCTATTTAAATTTTGAAATGCATCAATTCCTTGGCTCTCTCAGTTTGCCTGTTTTCCTGCAGATGTTCTGTTATCCAAACTAGGTTTGCCATCATCAATGCTAATTTAGGAGTAGGATTTGCTCTCGGCTCCCCACTCCTTGCTAGCACTGATGAACTTACTTAGTAGGGTAATGAAACGTCTGCAAGAAAACAACAAAGCTCAGAGAGCACCAAGGACCCCTCATTTCAAGCCTGAGCTATAAATATTCTCCTTTATTTTTGAAGTAAACTAGATAAAATCTGTAAAAAAATGACACTTATGAAAATAACATGCAAAAAGTATACTAAAATACATATTAGGCAAAACTGAAAAAAAATATCTATAGACCAAATTATTTTAAGACATCTTAGACATTTTTAAGGCAAATTTTATAAGATGGACTTGACAAAACTTTCAAAATAAGAAAAATAAACTTGGCAGATGCACATAATTGAGAAACTGACTTATACATATTTATACAGCTAATATATTTTTTGGGATTTACTGCAAAGCTTTTTGAATATGAAAGAAAATTGTCTGAAAGAAAACCCTGATAAATTTATACAATGTACTATATCCAGATAATCAATATAGCAACAAGGAATGGAATGGTACTCTTTACTGCCATTGACAGTAAATGGTGAATGGTGAGAATTCCCCACCATTAAGCCAGAACTGTAGAAGCTTCTTGGATGAGAAGCAAAATGTTTTCAAAGAAAAAAACGAAGAAAGTCCAGTTGCTTTTCCAGTTGGAAAAGCACCTTTGGGACAACCATGACCTGAATGATTGAGAATCTCTGCAGACATTTTGCCATTGACTAATTTTTTATTTTATTTTTTTGCATCAGGTAGTTCTATTAGATAGATCAAGTGGAAAAATTTCAGTGTAGGGTTCAAAGCAATCTGAAGAACCATTTTCTAAGAACAGAAAAAACAGCAAGTCTGTTTTTATTGCCTGCTTATGTTCAGAGGCAGGTGTCTGAGGAATAAACAGGCTTTAATGTGCATTTAACATTTCCCTGTGCTCTTATAGTATACTAAGGAGCAACCCCTAATACAAACTGGTCTTTGTAAGTATGTAATACAAAGATACTGCCTTTTAAAAAAAAATTACTGGGATAAGTTTGTCTCAGTCATATATATGTCCTTGCAGCATAACAAAATTATGTAAGACTCCATTGTATTTGATTCCATTTGATTTTAGTTTTAAAAAGTTCAAGGATAAAATGTTGTGAGACCATCTGAAGGGTCTCAAAGTACTAGTACTATGTTTTTTTAATGAATAGACTCTCCCTCCTATTTTGCACATAGTCCGTCATTCAGAAGTTTATCAGAAATAGTAATATATTCAGTCAAACTTTTTTTCTCTAATATGAACCTGATGTTACAAAGCCAGACCTCACAACACATGCCACCACAGCTCTTTACAATTTTGATTGTAGAAGAACTGCCCTCTAAATGCAGTGAACAACAATTTGCTTGAAAACAAGATGCAGGAGTGACATCAGTATCCTAATCATTTTTTTCAGGTTAACCACATCAAACATCATTAACACAGTCATTTCAAGGACAGGAAAAACCCCAACAGGTAATACCACTTCCTTTCTTGCATTGTTGCTACTTCATTTTAAGTAGACTTCAAAAGGCAGTTTAACATGATTTAATTCTCCCTCCTTCCCACCGCCATTAATCTGCTTGATTCATCTTTCCTGATGACATCATGTGTATTAATCATTTGTGACTTGAAAAGTATGATGAGCAATGGTGAATACCTGTTGACAGCCAGGTTCAAAACACTACGGTTCAGAAAAGTCCAATTTGATACCTTTACACCGCCAATACAGTCCATTGGAGTTGGGTGGCTGTAATACATTTAGATAATAAATTCAAAAATGTTGAGAATTTTGGAAAAACTGGTTAGGTTGATGCTGATAAAGACAAATACCAAACAACCATAGAAACAATCAGGTGGCATCCCACATAACAAAGATAAATAATCCCTTTCATTAAAGAAATCAGATTAAACATAATATTTAGAAGCTAGGACAGGGAATTTTAAATCAGTTATTGTCTTTCCCACTGGAAGGGAGTACTTCTTGAGAACTCAAACCACCATCAATAGCAAGCCTCAGAAGAAGCCTGCAAGGTTGCAAACATGACATCTGGACACAAGCAATTCCACAAAGAGGGAAAAACTTAATGGAAATGTTTCCTTTTTTTTTTTTTACTAAAATTTGAAAAATGCAGTTATTTGGTGACTTCTGGACATTCTCTGTTGATAAAAATTATCAACATTATGAATACTAACCCAATATTTTTTTACTAGCTATAAATATTTGACAGAGCGCTGCAGACTTGTTAAATCTATAGCTCTTTACTAGATATATTTTTCCTAAGTAATTTTTTCTCCAATAGTATATTGTTATTGTACAGGTAGTCCTCAACTTAGGACCACAATTGAGGCCAACATTTATGTTTTTAAGTGACAAATTTGTTAAGTGAGCTTTGCCCCATTTTACAACTTTTCTTGCCACAGTTGTTAAATGAATCATTGCAGTTGTTAAATTAGTAATATGGTTGTTAAGTGAATCTGGTTTTCCTACTGACTTTGCTTGTCAGAAGATTGCAAAAGGAGATCACATGACCCCGGGACACTGTAGCTGTCTTAAATGTGAGTCAGTTGTCAAGCAGCCAAATATAAATCACGTGATCCCTGGGATGCTATAATGGTTATAAGTGTGAAAAATGTCACTTTTTTCAGTGCGGTTGTAACTTTGAATGATCACTAAATGAACTGTTGTAAGTTGAGGACTACCTGTATTGTAGTTTAATTACCATTTTCCTGCCTGTTATTTTGCCTACCGATATACTGAAATTTCAGTTTTCTTTCTATGCTGCCAGATATAGTCATGGCTGTAAATGTTGGCACCCCTGAAATTTTTCCAGAAAATGAAGTATTTCTCATAGAAAAGTATTGCGGTAACACATGTTTTGCTATACACATGTTTATTCCTTTCGTGTGTATTGGAACAAAACCAAAAAAGGGAGGAAAAAAAGCAACTTGGACATAATGTCACACAAAACTCCAAAAATGGGCTGGATAAAATCATTGGCACCCTTTCAAAATTGTGGATAAATAAGATTGTTTCAAGCATGTGATGCTCCATTAAACTGACCTGGGGCAAGTAACAGGTGTGGGCAATATAAAATTCACACCTGAAAGCAGATAAAAAGGGGAGAAGTTCACTTAGTCTTTGCATTGTGTGTCTGTGTGTGCCACACTAAGCATGGACAACAGAAAGAGGAGAAGAGAACTGTCTGAGGACGTGAGAACCAAAATTGTGGAAAAATATCACCAATCTCAAGGTTACAAGTCCATCTCCAGAGATCTAGATTTGCCTCTGTCCACAGTGCGCAACATTATCAAGAAGTTTGCAACCCATGGCACTGTAGCTAATCTCCCTGGGCGTGGACGGAAGAGAAAAATTGATGAAAGGTGCCAACGCAGATAGTCCGGATGGTGGATAAGCAGCCCCAAACAAGTTCCAAAGCAATTCAAGCTGTCCTGCAGGCTCAGGGAGCATCAGTGTCAGCGCAAAGTATCCATCGACATGTAAATGAAATGAAACGCTATGGCAGGAGACCCAGGAGGACCCAACTGCTGACACAGAGACATAAAAAAGCAAGACTACAGTTTGCCAACATGTACTTGAGTAAGCCAAAATCCTTCTGGGCAAACGTCTTCTGGACAGATGAGACCAAGATAGAGCTTTTTGGTAAAGCACATCATTCTACTGTTGACCGCAAACGGAATGAGGCCTACAAAGAAAAGAACACAGTACCTATAGTGAAATATGGTGGAGGTTCACTGATATTTTGGGGTTGTTTTGCTGCCTCTGGCACTGGGTGCCTTGAATGTGTGCAAGGCATCATGAAATTTGAGGATTACCAACAGATTTTGGGTCATACTGTAGAGCCCAGTGTCAGAAAGCTGGGTTTGCGTTGGAGATCTTGGGTCTTCCAGCAGGACAATGACCCCAAACATACGTCAAAAAGCACCCAGAAATGGATGGCAACAAAGCCCTGGAGAGTTCTGAAGTGGCCAGAAATGAGTCCAAATCGATCCCATTGGACACCTGTGGAGAAATCTTAAAATTGCTGTTGGGAAGAGGCACCCTTCCAATAAGAGAGACCTGGAGCAGTTTGCAAAGGAAGAGTGGTCCAAAATTCTGGGTGAGAGGGGTAAGAAGCTTACTGATGGTTATCGGAAGCGACTGATTTCAGTTATTTATTCCAAAAGGTGTGCAACCAAATATTAAGTAAAGGGTGCCAATGATTTTGTCCAGCCCATTTTTGGAGTTTTGTGTGACATTATGTCCAATTTGCTTTTTTTCCTTTTTTGGTTTTGTTCCAATACACACGAAGGGAATAAACATGTGTATAGCAAAACATGTGTTACTGCAATACTTTTCTGTGAGAAATACTTCAGTTTCTGGAAAAACTTCAGGGGTGCCAACATTTACGGCCATGACTATATGTACTAACCAGAAATAATGTAGGTAACTGAATAATAGATTTGAAATGTATAGGAGTCCAATTCCTTTTTCTAAGTTCTTATGAATCACTTGTAAGAATGTAGCTTCTCAATTTCAAAATGTCTTTATATGAACAGACATTCATATAAAAACAAAATAGTATTGTTATACATATATATTATTCTCTTTCTGTCTCTCCTACACATATATTCTATTTACCACTGAAAAGCAAACAGACCGCATAAAGGCACAGAAACATTTTTCTGTCCCAATGTGTCAAAAAAATCAAAGGTCAGCATTTGCTATTTATTGGACTATTGTTTTAAAGAAACAATAAATTTCAATGTAGTTTGTCATTTTAAACCTGCCCTGTTATCTTTATTCCCAATAAAGATCCATTGGGTAGATTTGTTGGCAGATATATTGTAACTGCTCTGACTACAATGGTTAAGAACTGCCTAAGTATGACATCATGGTAAAAGGAAGTATTATTATATCACTGAACAGGATATCCTCCCTTATAATCATTCATAACAACCATGAAGAATTGCTTAGTGTCAACACAGACTCCATACTATTACTCCACAACAAGAAAACCTTTTGGTCAAATATGTATGGCAATAAATGACAGCATGAAGCTATGTTTACCTTCTAAAACAAAAAATAAGCATCAGAAGTCCAGAAGTTCATTGAGACTTTGTCATAAAGACAGAATACACAGCCATTTCTTTTCCCAGCCACAGCTTCCCAAGATGTCCTTCACACCTGCTCAGAGTGCAAGGTTTCTTAAAAAAAATAAGCAGCTTTTTGGGGCGTATGAAAAAAATAAAAATTAGATACTGTAGCCATACAACAGGCTAAGACAGATGTTAAGTCAAATTATAATAAACTGTTGGAAAATCTTGAGCTCCACTGCCAAAATAATGGGGGTGGGGGTGTACATGTGTAATCTCACAAGATCAACATATATCATAGAATTGGGTGACCAGCTCATGAATTTATGCAATACCACATGAAGATATCAATATTTTGCACATTCTCACTTTATCTGAGAACACAAAATGCTTTGAGATTGGAGTATTATCAGATTTCAGCTCAACAAGAAGTGCTTATAGAACTTGTGTGAAAAATCTGAAATGTTTTTTTTTAATTAGTGTTAGCTATAATTCTGGAGAATCTCAAAGGTGCTTTTTTTTTTCAAAAGGCAACTGGACTTTCTTAGTTTTTGCTTGAAGACATTTCACTTCTCATCCCAAAAACTTTTTCAGTTCTGACTTAAAAAACTTTAACAGAAACCTCTTGGATGAGAAGCAAAACATATTCAAACAAAAACCAAGGAAGTCCAGTTATCTTTTGGAAAAAAAAACATCTTTGGAACAACCATGACCTGAATGACTGAGAATCTCCATAGACAATTTTGGAGAATGCTTGTGAAATATAAAAGACAGTAAATTGTCTAATAAAATATTTCACAGCCTATGCCATGAGTTTTATTCTTTAAAAATATGGAATAGATAATTAAATAAATACCAAACACTACAAAGTTTACGCAACATGGTTCTATTTAAAGTAGTTTCAACCATGGCACTCAGTGACAGCAATACAATATTTTCTTCACAAAGCAATGAATACAAAAATATGCCATAAATTCATTTGTAAACTAGTATTCTAATACACATACGTCATAGCAACGCACATGTTTATATAACATCTTCCTGAGATACTTTGGGTGGTTTTCATTTTATTGTGTTAGATTATCTTTGATCAATTTAAAATACTGGTGCAAGTGGGACACTAATATAAAGAAAATAATGCAAATAATAGGTAGAGGAGCAGCTCTTACACATGCTTCCTGTAAAAACATGGGGGACATACACTGTGTTTTTAAAATATTTGAATCTTTCTGGGTGAGAAAAGGTGAGGTGAAGTTTCATTTAATAATCTAGAAAAAGCAGCAGAGTGTTTCAGGAATGTTAGAGGTGGAGTAGAATACAAATGATAGAAAGGAAAAGTCATAATTCTTTTGACTAGACATTTTCTGCAGAAGCATTTGTACATGCTGTACTCAGTTCACAGTTTCAGTATCGACACTAATCTGTCTTGGAAGAGCAAATGTCTTTTAAAGTTTCTAGCTCTTCTATAAGTTTCTTGTTTTGAACTTCTAACATTGCAACACGACTCTCCAGACATTTCACATATTCTTTCTTCCTTCGTCGACATTCTTTTGCAGCTTCCCTGAAAAAAAGGTAAAAAGGGCAAACAGAAAAGCTTTTGTGACATGCTACTGACATAAGGTAGGATGGGGATGGTGGAGTGACCAAGGTCAATACAATATGGAGACAGTGATGCTTTCCAAAGATTAGAAATCACACATCTTTTTAGAAAAAAGACCTAAGAAAAGCCAAGATCACAAAGACCACACAATGCCCCTTTCTTAAGGGTCACTTGGCAATCTGTAGAATTGCTTCATCTCATGCCTTGATTACTGTTCATAGTAAAAAGTTCCACGGCCAAATGCCAGTTACTCTGCTTTATGGCAATAAAGGTCTTTGAGAGCCTTGAGTTCCTCAATCAGAGTCTTGTTTTGATTCTCAAGAACAGCTACGCGATTTTCAAGGCATTTGACATATTCTTTCTTCTTCCTGCGGCATTCTCGAGCAGCTTCCCTGGAACCAACACAAGGCAAATGACTACTCAATCAGCTACAAGGCAAAGAAAACCTGGATAGCTAGGATAACCTCTGACACCAGAAAAGCTGAAGTGACTCAGTAAATGCCAAATCAAGTACACCGTACACCAGTCACAGCATAAAATCAGACCACAGTGCTCTGAACACAATGCAGGACAGACAGACATAAGACACCAGACAGAAGACACCGCATAGCACAGAAGTGAGAGGAAGCTGTTGTAAAATCAGTTATGAGATAGTGCTTTACAAAAGCAACTGAAGCTATCACAGAACATGCATCAAAGTAACAGCTCAATATCTAAAGCCCCCACATCATCTGTTCGCATAATAGCCCATATTAAACCCACGTGCTTAAACAAGTAGTTCAGTTATCTCACAGTATACCTGCAAAATGTTAGGAAATTAACTGTTGGCCAAGAAAACATGGTACCTTCTTTCTTCAGTTAGAAAATTTCAGCTTCTCTTTTCAGGTAGTTTGAAATATTTTGTTAATTGTCCCAATTTTTTATCAAAACCAATAATAATATTATTTGAAGTGAATACAATATGAATTAATATTTACAGTTTAAGCCTTAAACTTTTAATATAATCATTAAGGATGAATTGGAAGTTAAACTACTATTTAAACTTTTATGCTTCCTGCTGCTGGTTCATTAATCTCATTTCAGATCTTTTAGTTCTCTAAAACCACTAGTCTTTGAGTGGGAGATGAAGAAGCAAATAATCATCAATGGTTACCTCTTTAAATTATATAATATTTTACATATATGTTACTGTTTTTAAGGCCTTTGTAAAGGCCACCAAATGGAACTTTTTGTTAAAGCATTGAACAAAAATATTTAAAATCAATATAAATTCCCTAACTAATTTGGAATACTGTGATGACATTAACACATCTGAACTTATTTCTCTCAAAGCTACAAATTTTATTTTGGAGTCCTCCCTCCTTTAATTTTTACAAGGACAAAGCTTGTCAAAGCCTTTTCCTTGTACATTGTTATAGGTAAGATTATTTTTCACAGTGCTTTTCCTGGAATACTAATCTAAAAAGATCCCTAAGATCTTTGACAGGATTTTTAAGAAAATACAGTCTAAGAGGAAAGCTCAAAAAAATTATGTGAATGAAAAAAGTATCTGCAAGTGCTAAGCAAGAATGTTGGCTAGTTGGTAATATGCACTTAATGTTAGAAAAATCAAAATAAGATGACACATATTATTTAATTGTCACTAACAATAGACACTAGACAACCTGAAGAGAGAAGAACAAGAGATGGAAACTAAGATATTTCTGGATTAGCAATTTGAAATTAAAAGGCATGAGAAAAAGCAATACCATGAAGCACTATTAAGCAATAGTGGGGTTAGTTAAAAGAAGTTCAGCTTCTTCCAATAAAGCGCATGCCAACAATATCCACAAATACTGGCAGTGGACAATGAGTACAACATTAATACTAACACAGATACAGGAAGTAAATAGACAAAAGGATAATTTAGCCTGGACAATGTACAAAATTTAGTAAATAAAGTGAGAGAAAGGCAACCTAAAGGTTGCACCCAAACTCTTAAAAATCAGTTTACTACAAAATACAAGAGGGCATTCCACAGTGAATTTATTTTCTGCAATAAAATATAGACCTGCAAAAAAGCTTTGCCCTTCTATTCTGTTAAGTTTACAAAATCACAAGCTTTGGTAAAACTGAATCAAAACAGAATTTGCCATTTAAGCAAATGATATGTACACATAAAAATTAAATGTATAAAACATTTAAAATATAGGCATCCTCCATTTAACATCTATTCATTCAGCGACTATCTGAAGTTACAGTAGCACTGAACAAAGAATACTTACAGTGAATCTTCATAGTTGTAGCCACTGCAGACTCCTATAGTCATGATTGCCATTTGTGACATTCAATGCCAATCCTGCCAGCTTGGAAAAGCTTGCAGGTGGTCACAAATAGTGATCATGTGGCCATGGGACACTGCAGCTGTGCAAGATTTGCCTAACAACAGTAATCAGGACTTTTGGAACTTCCACTAAAAGTCAGCATTACCATCCTTTAACAACGGAGTTCCCAGTCCCAATTACGGTCAGTAAATGATAATTATCTGCATTAGGACGTGCAACTGTATGTATGATATTATAATCTGTTTCTGTGTGTGAGAAAATCTTTTATTCTTATTAATGCAATGGGCTTTCTGAGTGGAAAATGTGTATAGTATGGTATAGTAGTTAAAGTACTACATTAGTCTTTTTAGCATTACTATTTCCTTACCACTGATTCTGGGAAATAAATAAATATTAATTTAAATTCTAATTGGTACCTATTTTTCATAAGCCTTAGTTCTCTTTTACGTGTTGCTTCTTCTGCTAGCTGCTGTGGGTTATGCAGTGTTCCTGGGGAAGCTGCCATGACGACTCCTTGAGGTAAGGCTGTGGTTGGAGTACGGATTTGGTATGTTGGCATGTCACCTGTAGCAGCTGCAATTTCAAAAAAGAAGACATTATATAATACAAAGGAAAATGGCATAGTTTATTATCAAAACAAACAAACAAATAAATGTTCTAGCATGGTATCTGCCATCAAGATTTGTACAGTTTTTATTTGGATGTTTGGATGTTTTAATAATACAGCCCTCAGAAAATCACAATGGAAACAATACATTTATCAAAGGGAAGGTGCGAATGAATTCTATTAAGAAACAGCAAGCCATAGCAGAAATATTGTCTTTTTATTCCTCATCATTTTTTGCTTTGTTTCAAAGAAATAATTTAATCTTAAAGGAATAGAGGAAGAAAAGAAATCCATACAAAGCATCATGCCATGGAAATGCAAAATAATAATAATAATAATAATAATAATAATAATAATAATAATAATAATAATTTTATTTATATACCACGCCTCGAGGTCGACCTCTGCCCCCCTGCTAACATAAACTGCGAGCAGTCGGAGAGGTAGGAGAACCACCGTAACACGGTGCCTCCAATTCCTAACCCCCTCAACCGCTGCAGCATGATACCATGGTCGATAGTATCAAAAGCCGCTGAGAGATCTAATAGGACCAGGACCGAGGAACAACCCCTGTCCCGAGCCCTCCAGAGATCATCAAGCAACGCGACCAATGCCATTTCCGTGTTGTACCCCTGCCTGAAGCCCAACTGGTAAGGGTCCAGATAGACAGCTTCCTCCAGGTTCTGGGGTAGCTGTCGTGCCACCATACTCTTGACAACCTTCGCCACAAAACGAAGGTTGGAGACCGGACGGTAATTTGCTAATACAGCCGGGTCCAGGGATAGCTTCTTGAGGGGGGCCTCACCACCGCCTCTTTCAAGGTGGTGGGAAAGGCACCCTCACTCAAAGAAGCATTTATAATCCCCTGGAGCCAGCCTCGTGTAACCTCCCGGGAGGCCAGTACCAACCAGGAGGGACACAGGTCCAATAAACATGTGGCAGCACCAAGCCTACCCAGAATCCTGTCCATGAATGAGAAAGCATCACAGTCATTCATTGTACCTAACCATTACAATACATGATTTTAAAGAAAGTAATAGAGTTCAACTCTACTTAGAGGTGAACTCTATTTCTTTCTTTAAAATCATGTATTGTAATAGTCAGGTATCACAGTAGGCTACGCATGTAGGTGCCCAGTTAAAACTGCAGAATAAAGTTGAGCATGGGCTATCCACCTCCCTTCTGATTTGCAGAATCTAGAACATCTCCAACAATAATGAGAGTTCATTGCCACAGTGTGAGATAATTTCTTGGTTGAACAGGTCTTTAGTGTTAAGATGTGTCTCCACAAATGATTTGATCAAAACTCTTTCTCATTTAGTTTTTTTCCCAACTCATTTTTCTGTTTCCACGACACTCCATCCCTTCATCCTTTTGCAGGATCCATAAACCCAATGCATACTGTCTTTTTTCTCAGGAATCATTTTGCATTATCAGCAGCCCTCATATCTTTCCTTGGAACTGATTTTTATACTTTTCTTCAACAAACATTGACTCTTCCTTTCTAACCCAACCTTACACAACACAGGCTGCATGTAAATTGACTACTGTCCCACCACACTTTGTCACCCTTAATGAGGATCCACTACCGGTGCCCTGAAAAACATGCTGTGTGCCTCCAATTCCTCCAGACCTTTACCAACTCCATTATCACTGCCATCCCTTAGCTGGAGAAGAGCTAATTAGCACACCAAGCATTTCCTCCTATGCACTAAAAACATATTTGACAAAACCAGCACTCACGTCTGACCATAAGATCAAATATATTGGACCTATAGACTGGGATTTATTATTTTTTAAAAAAGTATTAATATAAACTAACGGGATTTTTTAAAAGACAAAATTACTAATCTCATTTACCTATCTTGATTTTGCTGCAAAATGCAAGTTTCTATCTATGAATTTTTTTATAAGCTTGTGCACAACAGGACAAGTGCAAATTTTATTCATCTAAAATCCAACTGATGTACTTTAAACCAGCATATAAATTATAGGAGAATGCATAATGAATGAAAACAAATCTTTAATTCATAGACTGTCCATATAGGCATCTGGAAGGGAAGAAAGCTAGATCTGTGAAGCAGCCTCAGATCCCTGGATTAAACAAATGTGCCACAATTTCCAAATTACATTCCCTATAACACAAAAGCAGGTAGAAAGAAGCCATTTCATGGCTTTCTGGCACTTCATGACAATTGACCACTGATAACTGGCTTCAACAATACATAACTTGAAATACGTGCAATACAAGAAAATCGGGGACAATGGATTTTATCAATGACCAAACAGCTCTTTTACTGTTTCTCTTCATGCTGAAGAACCCCAATTTAGTGTTGCAGTAATTTTAAGTGAATGACAGTCAAGACACTCAAAACTAAAATTTGTATGGCAGTTAACATATTTTAGATATTATTTAAATAAGCCAAAGCAACAATACTAACAAAAAGTTCATTTAATTTAATAATATTACCCAATATTACCCAAGAAATGAGAACATGGGATAGACCTTCACAACATACTAAGATAAACAAAAGAATAGCAAAACAAAAGCAAAGAAGATCTGACAAGACCGAGATAGCATTTAGTTTTCCTAGTCTCAGAAAAGCAGCAAAATGAAACCTCTGATGATCACAATGTTAGTTTCCTCAACAAGGTATCCTACCAATCCTGCAATGTTTGTGGATTCATATTTTATGCCCAGGAGGCTATCTCATCTTGCTATTTTTAATCTTTCAAAAATTGTATTTGTCTTTTCCTTCATGAAAATGAACAGGCAGATAATAAAACAAAGCAATGACTCTAGCTTCCATTATCCTTATTTCCCATAATGCATTTTGGACCCCATATAGTCCCAAAGACTTTTTAAAGAAAAAGGATCACATTCTCAATACACATAGCCCTGAAAAATGCCCAAACTACTTGCAAAACATGTTTTCAAAAAAAGAAAGTCAGAGATTGAGAAAAAAATAATAAACAAATGTAAGGAAGAATGTGAATTATTGCTAAATGTAATATCAACTTATATTTGTTTGAACAGATGAATGGAAAGTTTGGGAAAAGAAACAACTCTAATAGATAAAAATCCACAGAGTGAAGAGATTGGGCGTTGGCCTTACCTGATAGGCCCTTTCTCTTACGGGCGGGCCCGGCAGTCAGGCATTGGAGGCGACCCCGTCTGTTTCTATAGGACCGAATCCGCCAATCAAATAAGTCCTGCCTCTTCCTGTGACTCTCCAGTTTTGAGACGAGGACGACAAAGCAGACTGAGGTGTCTACAAAATGAAATCAAGAAATGAGAGGGCTCCCTCCCCCCATAGACAGCAGGGGATGGCCAACCACAGGGTGCGGCTGACTGCGGTGCCCGCCCGTAAGAGAAAGGGTCTATCAGGTAAGGCCAACATCCATTCTCCAAAAGGCGGGAACGGCAGTCAGGCATGGGATATACCAAAGTCCAAATACCTATAGAGAGGGAGGCCGGCCCCGCCTTCTCCTATAGTAGTTTCCTGATGACTTTGGATAGCAGTGGCAGTGGCGGAAAGGCATAAAGAAGAAGCCCAGGAGCCCACGGGCTGTGTAAGGCATCCACAGCTTCTGCCCCTGGAGTGGGAAACCAGGTGAAAAACCTCGGGAGCTGGTGATTGGTCCCGGAAGCAAAGAGGTCCACCGTGGGAGTCCCGAAGCAGTCGGAGAGTTCCTTGAACAGGAGAGGGTGGAGACCTGACTCTGCCTGGTCGATCGTAGACCAGCTGAGAGCGTCGGCCTGGGCATTTGCTGTCCCTGAGATATGAGCCGCTTGAAGCGAGGCCAGGTGAACTTCCGCCCAAAGGCCCAGACAGAGGGCTTCCTGCATAAACACCCTCAAGCGGGTCCCCCCCTGCTGGTTTACATGAGCCTTGGCGGAGACGTTGTCCGTTAGAAAGTGATCGGCAAGAAGGTGATCGGCGAAGCTCTGAAGAGCTAGATAGATGGCCCGGAGTTCCAACTCATTTATATTGAGGTCCCGTTCTTGCTGAGACCATTGGCCTTGGGCCTGATGAGGACCGAGATGGGCTCCCCATCCGAACAGGCTGGCGTCTGTCATGATGACAAGTCAGTGTGGTTCCCGGAACCTGCTGCCCTTCGACACCCGTCGGAAGTCCACCAGTCCAGAGAGTGAAGGACCTTCGGAGGAAGGGCAATCCTTGTCACCGAGGTGTTTTGGCGAGCCCGTTGGAATGGGAGGAGAAGCCACTATAGTTCTTGACTGTGAAGGCGAGACCAGGGAATTATGCCAAAGGAAAACACTATCTTTCCAAGCAGGCGCGACAAACCCGAGTGTTGAGCTTGGAATCGACTGGCCAGTTCAATAATGCTGGATTGGTGATCCTGCATTTGATAAACCTTAGACCCAATGGTGTCTATCATGGCCCCCAGATGTTGGATGCGAGTGGAGGGAAGCAACTGGCTCTTAGTCCAGCTAACTGAAAAGCCGTGATCTTGTAATTGCTGAAGCGCACTGTGGAGATCTCGGTGGGCCTAGGCTTCAAAGTGTGAGAGGATGAGGATATCATCCAAGTAAAACAGTATCCTAACGGGAAGAGCCCGGATATGGCAAATAAGGGCCGCCATAATCTTAGTAAATACCCTGGGTGCCGAAGAAAGGCCAAACATCTTTTGAATAGCCAAATCAACCTGAGCCCGTTTAGTTCTATTATGTGATATAGGGCAATGAAGGAAAAGCTGGGGGGGGGGGAATGAGAAAGGAATTCGAGAGATAACCCAAAACAGATGGTGTTCCTAACCCAGGAATCAGATATAGAGGCGTCCCACTGATCTGTGAAAAACGCCAGGAGTCTCCCAATTAACAAGTCCGGTGGAGAACTAATGGGACCATCGGAAGGGACGGCCTCTCCCACCCCTGAAGGACCTACGAGATGGAAAACGGGACCCCTGTCTGACCTGAGTAGCCTGTTGGTGGCCGCCTTTGGCCTGAAAGGAACATTGAGATCGGTGTTGGTAGAACCCACTGTCAGAGCTCCGAAAGGAGTGGGAACGAAAGGAACTCTGCTGTTGATAATCCGAGCGTCGCGACA